GGCTGATCGTATACTTGCACTTGTGCAATCTGGTGATTTCCTTGAAGCTATAGCTTTAGCCACATCTTTTTATAATAAAACATCATCTCAAACAATTCTTGGTCTACCAGATGATGAAGAGAGTCGTCATGCTATTGTAGGCGAAAAACTCATGGATCTTTTGAATGCTTCAATAAATTATGCATTCTCAAGTGAACGTACATTCCAGGGTATGGTTGATGAACATAATGGTAGTGGTACAGTTTTGTTCCATGATTTAGCTATTGCGTGTATTGAGGCTTGTCTTAGTATGCACAGAGAGGATTTCCTATTTAGCGAGGTTTATGAACGATATTCTGATGCTTTCGCTAAAGGAATACTCCTCGAAGTTATAGGATCACACATACTTGAAGATAAAATAAAGGACTTACCACCAGAAATAATGAAAGATCTGGTTGATCATTATAGGAATCGTCGTATGCTTGTAAAAGTCGAAAAATGCATATGGCACATTAATCCTCAATGCATCGACATTGATCAAGTGGTTCAACTATGTCAAAGTGAAGGACTTTATGATGCGATGATTTATGTCTGGAATCGATCTATGGTCGATTACGTTAATCCGGCTGTCGAGCTTCTTAAAGTAATCAGAAAAATCTTGATATCGGAAAAACGTAAGAAAAGGAAGCATCGATCTACTCCGTCAAGATCATCAAGATCATCCATATCGATTGATGCTAATGTGCTTGAAGCGGGTGAAGATTTGGAGACAATGAAAACAAATGCCCGCAAATTCTATACCTATATGAAAAATATACTTACCGGTCAAACATATCCCAATGGTGCACCACTTACTGAAGCGGAGGCTAATGAAGCCCGAACAACATTATATTCATTTGTATTTTCGGGTCGTTGTGTTGTATGGCCCAGGCATGGTGGAGAATTAATTTTAACAGCTGAGGATGAGATAAAAGGACCGGAACCTACTTATCCCTATCTTAGAATATTTTTAAGATTTGATGCAAAAGCTTTTTTGCAAGCTTTAGAAGTTGCTTTTGAAGATTCTTATTTAAATGGGGTCGAAATAATTATGAATGGAGACGAATATTTTGAGGAGGAAGAATTACCTGGGAAAATTATCAATCGTCAATTATTAGTGAATATCCTGTTAGAAGTAATGACAGGTTCTTCTGATAACTCAGAATTTTCTCAGAAAGATATTTCCTATTTATATAGTTTTGTAGCACGAAATTTACCCAAATATCCACAATTCCTGTTATTGTCTCCTTCCGTAATACATAAAATGCTGGTCGAACTCAGTACCGATAACGATCCTCAGACTCGTGAAGAGCGACAGCTTTCAGTTGAATGTTTGTTGTCTATATATACCCCATCAGATGAAAATCAGATGGTTCAAAGATATGAAAATGCTGGTTTTTGGAGAGTGTTGGAACATGTATACAAGGCGGATAAAAAATATGATTTATTGGTGACAACTTATTTGAAAGATCCAGAACGAAGAAAAGAAGTCTTTGATTGTATACGTAGCTTATTAAATACAAAAAGTAAGCTTACAGAGGAGCAACGAGAAAAGGTTACACAAAAAATTATAGAGAAAATTAAAGACATTGTTGATATTGATGGCGAACAGACTGCCGCAATAATTAAAGCATATTTTAACAGTGATCATCGAACTGTAATCTCGAATTTGATAACATCTCCTGCACGTTTATTTACTTATTTGAGGGGACTTTTGGAACCTTCTCAAGAAAATATAACAGGCGGAGAACTTATCAGGGTTCGAAATGTTGAGGAACAAGTGATCATGTCTGAAGCACAATCGGAGTCCTTGCATATAGATCCAGAAATTCATGAACAGTATATTGCATTGATGTGCCAATTTGATCCTACAGGGGTATACCATTATTTGCAGACTCATCAAGAAACTTATCGAATAGAATATGTATTACCTATTTGTGAAGCCACTGGTATTGTAGACGCAGTGGTTTGGATATTAGAAAAAAGTGGCAATGCCATGGGTGCACTTGACAAGGTCTTAGATATTATTCAAGAAAAAACGGAGGAAATTCTTGCATTGATTGATGAGAAAAAAAATGACACAAACGATCGATGGACATTGCTAGAAAAAACTAAAATAGAGACATCTTTAATGAAGTTAAAAGGTGTACTCAAGATTGGCATTCTTTTATGTGAAAATAGTTGTCGACGAGCAACTTTAGCCAAGGGCTCGACTGGTGTTGTTTCTGTGCCTCAAATGAACCGTGCTACAGAAAGTGAAACCGAATTATTATGGTATAAACTTCTTGATGCATTTTTGAATGCTACCAAAGCTGTGTCATCGAGTGTTATACCACCAATACCTCCAATGATGTCAGAAAGACTTTTAGCCAATGGGCAAATTTCCTCATTCGAAGTGCCGAAATCACCTATACCACCACATATTGCAAATCATCTAATCACAACTTTTAAATCATACGTTCAGTCTATTATGAGATCCTTATTGTTGTCCACATCTTCACCTTACGTTTCATTGCCGAGACTATTGCTTAGATTTATGTCGGAAGCCAAAAAGAATAGTACCGTTTCGGACTTTAGAGACATTTTCGTGGGGATGATTGATACATATAAATATGAAGGTCAGTTGCTGGCTATGACCAACCGACTGTTTGAAAAGGACTTGTTCATGGGTGTAGCAGGTGTTGTTAGACAGCGTGGTAAAGGCTGGCGTCCACGTAGGGGGGCATGTGAAGTGTGTGGGGGTCAATTCTGGGGAACGGAACTTAACAACCCATTGACCCTCCGCGCTCCATCTGGTTGGGGTTCACCTGAAAAGAAAACGCCCCATTCATCCACTATATCCAACCCTGCCAATTCTGCAGATGCCTTACCGACCCTTGAATTACTTGAAGGAACTGATCAGTCTGATGAAGCTTCGACATCAATCAAACCACTTCCTCCATTACCACCTTCTCCTCATTCTTTGCCAACGTCGTCAACGATTCAAGAAAACGACCTATTACTATTCCGTTGCGGCCACGGTTACCATCGTAGATGTCTCGAAACCGAATCAAACTATTCTACGGAGAGTGAACCAGAATCATGTACGGTTTGTCAAACAGAACGACGGAGGGAGCCGCTTGTAGAACAGCGTAATTGGGTGGAAAGTTCAACAGGAAAAAATAAAGGCAAGGACAAAGTTGTAAGTAATGTTTTATTTTTATTCATTGTTGTTTATTTTTATTTTTTAAAACTTCTGTTACAAATCCACCCTATGTTTTTATCTTTTTCACCCTTAAAAAATTTTAGATTTAATGCTCAGCTACAAATTGCAAATTCCCTAGGTATAATTAATTTTTCATATTTTTTGCAAATTCCTTTAATAAAGTATTAATTTAATCAAAAATTTTTTTTTTTTTTAAAAAAAAAATATATAATAATAAAAACGTAAATATTTACAACCTCAGTAATTAAAAAATAATATTAAAAAAAAAGGAATAATAATAATAATAATAAAATTATAAAAAATGTCACGAGTAACGAGAGGTAACGAGTATATTGAAGACATTAGACATGATATGATACGATTTACTCCTCAGGTTTTTTTTTGTTTTGTTTTGTTTTGTTTATAGTGTAAATTAACGTTTGCCTTATGAATTTAAAGATTTTTATTTAACTTATTTAACTTGTAATTTTAGATTTTTTTTTTTTTTTTTTCAAGGTCTATAAATTTCATTGTATTTATATATATAAAATGTATTTATTTATTTATTGATTATAAGTTTTGATAGGAAAAATTTTTTTAAATGGATCTTTTTTTTTTTAAAAAAAAAAATGTAAGTTGTTACTAATATCCACAGTTTCACAGGATGATATCAAAAAATATAGATAATTTATTGTTCAGATCTTTTAATTGTCATCCCACTAATTATTAACTTATTCTGCAGTTTTTATAAATTTATCAAAATCTTCAACATTAAATTCTTTATAAATACTTAAAAAATCTTTAAAAACATGATCAGCATCATTTTGAGAAAATTGATCTTGAAGAAAATTACGTAAAGTATGCCAAAAACGAGGATCTTTCAATTTTTCCGTAGCAGCAGTAGAAAGTTTTTGATCTTTAGGAAGTTCTTGAGCGGTACTTGAAGAAGGTGTAAGAATAGGTATTGCATCAGAAGTAATTGAACTAATTGAGGAAGTACCAGATTTTTGAACTAAATGTACTGTAGTATCATTATTAATACCATATTCATATAAAGTTTTAGTATCAACCAAAGCTTTCCCTTTTAATATCAATCTTTGATTAATAACAGAAGTTGAAGCAAGTGGTTGTAATTTCTCTTTAAGATTAAGAATTGTATCAGAATTATTTAATTGAATTGTATACGTTTGACCTCCTTTTAATGATTTGATCTTTACTTGAATTGGGACTCCTAAAGGAATAATAATTATAATAATAAAACGCGAGATTCAAAAAAATGTGAATGTTATTTAATTCATACCTTGAACAGGCTCAACATTTTGTGAACCATCTTGAAGGCTTGGTTTTCCTGTTGACTTTCTGCTTTTGTTTGACAATAATACATTTTGTGTCTAAAAATAAATATCCGATTAGGTTAAGAGCAAAAAAAAAAATTGTAAGCCAAGCAAAATACAAACTTGGCTTTTTATTCAACTTACTGGTTTTTGGCGCGTTTGAGGGGGAGGAGCAAAGTCTTGAGGATATTTCACAGTACGTGAAGATAAAGTGCTAAGGAAATTTGTAGCAAACTTCGTTTCATCAACTGAATTCATCTTTAAAAAAAAATAAAATAAATAAAATAAAAAAAAAATCGAGAGAACAACAGACAATGCCAAGAAATACGTCATGCTATAAAACCAAATTATTCCGGCAAAAAAACCGATTACCATTAAATTTTCGGACATTTCAATTTCTATATAAATTTGCCATATCCCGATTTTTTTTTTTGTTTTACAAACTTTCAAAAAACAATGAAACTATGGCAGCTCAAAGAAATGAAGCGTTAAATACTTTGAAGGGAATGTTCCCTTCCGTAGATCCCGAAGTATGCGAGGCTGTATTAGAAGCTAATCAAGGAAGCTTAGAACAAAGCTTAAATATTCTTTTGGGTATTTCTGACCCAAATTATGAAAGTGAAGAAATGATTCCAGTTCAAACTGAAGTATGTATAGTATAACCTACGAATTAGTTTATATTTTTCCTTGTAAATTTGAAATTAACTTTCACATTTAAAATGTATAGTCTGGGCTATTAACTTCAAGTTCCAAAGAACAGATTGCGCGTGACGAAGAATTAGCTAGAAGTTTAGCGGCTGAAGCAGATAGTGAGTTTATAAGTAAAAAATATTTTTCGCAAATTATTTTAATTTTAAATTATTTTTTTTAAATTTTTTTTTTTGTTTTAATTTTTATTTTTAGGAGAATATTATGCTCAAAATCAACAACAACAACAGCAACAGCAACAGCAACAGGAACAGGAACAACAGCAATCACAATCACCTTTCCCCGATTTTTCAGGTAATTATTAAAGATAATTATATATTTTATTTATTTATTTATTCAAATTATTCCTCATATTTTAGAAGAATTACCTGTGATCAAAGAAAAAATTGTGCAAGCTGCTGATAGTGAGTTTTTTTATTTTCAATTGATTAATAAAAAATTTTGGAAAAGATAATTCTATAAAATTAAATTTCCTTTTTTTTTTTTAGCAACGAAAAAGAAAGTTAAAGAGTGGTACGATAAATTTAAACAACAATCAGTAGCAAGGAGTGAATCAACTCAACAATCGACTCCTCAATATACAAATTTACCTGGTTATGAAGCTGATAATCCCTTAATTGGTGAAGATTTTTCTCCTATACAACAACCAACACGACAAAGTAATGTTAGTCGGCAATACACGAACTCTCGTATTTCTTCTAATACGTCTAATACTCGAATGTCACCTTTGACATCTCAACCAGTCTATGGATCATATGGTATTGATGTTAACAAAGATACTGATGATGTATTCAGTTCTTCGACCAATAATAATCAAATCAAAATTATAAGAGAATATGATTCTGGTTCTGCAGATTCTCCATATAAAATAAATGATGATCCCGAATTTCCAAATAATAATATTAATAGTAATAATAATAATAATAATAATAATAATAATAAAAATAATAATAATTCTGCATCCGTTACATCAGCTTCTCCGGTAAGACCTGGCAGATACGATGTTCACAGAGCTTCTAGTGAAGGTGATTAACTTGACTTAAATTTATTATGTTGATATTGTTGTTTAATAACAACCTAATAAACACTTATTTTTTTTTTTGTTTCAATTAGATGCTGAAGAACTTAAAAAAGATTTGAATTTATAACTGGAATCGTTTATTATATTACATCCCAATTTCATCTTTAATATTTTATTAATATTTGTTTGATTAGTACTTTACCTTACAAGATGTAAAACTTTGATATTATTCATATACTTCTTTATTTATTATTGTAAATTTTTGATTTATAAAAATAAAAAAATAATCTGAATAAGTGTATATCAAACCAGCCAACAAAAGCAAACACGTATAAATCTATATATCTCGCTCTTAAATAAAGGTATAATTTTTTTTTTTAAAAAAAAAAAGGTAAAAAAAAAAAAAAAATGTAAAGATGATTATTCCATTTAATACAAATAGGGTAGAATTCTAAAGCTCTAATTATTGTTCTCAAATGATCATATCAATACAGTATAATCATAATAAATTTTACTTCAATAACACTCTAATCTTAATAATGAGTACCAATGGATTTCCTATTGCCATTTCCACGATACTTTCCATAATCATCATTGTGAGGTTCAGTTCTCTGTCGTTTGGTATATCGATGTGAATCTTCGACTATCTCAAAATCATCATCATCTTCGGCATAAGTATGGCCGTTATAGGTATCAATTTCGACTTCTTCGAAATCTCCTTCGAAAACCTCTTCATTTTCTTCCACTTCTACCTCTTCAAATTCATCATCTTCCTCTACCATTGGAGACGTATCGGTATCTTGATAAAGGTTAGCATAATACTCGTCTAAATATCGATTATGCCCTTCATCACCTTTCTCATTAACTCTAACGTTTTCTACTTTTTGTTCTTCAATTTCTTTTGCTGCACCTTGACTCCAGGCATTTGCAACCATCACATCACCCGATACTGTACTACGTACGTGCCAAGCAGGTAATGCATTTTGTTGCCTATATAAAAAGTAGAAATCAATAGATTTTCCAAATGAACGCTATTAAAATGTAAATATTTGGGGAATACTTGCCGTTTCTTTTCAAGTTCTGCCTGTCGTTCCATCTTTGAAGTTTCATTATCATCTTGAAACACAATGACAAGCCCTTCCGATTGGAGATTAGTATCTTGGGCAAATTGTACATCTTGTTCCTCTAAATATAAATATAAACATAAATATATATATATATATATATATATGATAAAAGAAATAAACTAATAAGGAATTATTACATACGTGTAGAACCTGATTGGCCATTCTTTGCACCTGACCCATGTTGAAACTTCTCAACTGAAGAACTTTTATACAAATAATGATAAATAAAATTTCAAACAATGTTCGATGTAAATATGTAAATAAATACAACATACACAGGGATTCGTAATTTATCAATAGATTTCAATAAATCAATTATCGGCTGACTTTGCTCCATGAACCTAAAATTTTTTACAAATTACATCAGAAAGTAAAAATCTTTAATTAATTGATAAAAACAAATTATTCTTAAACATTCATTACCTTCCATGAAGTTTCTCGGATCCTTTTACATTTTCAGCATTGTCGTTATGATCCAATTCAGAGTGACATAAGTCACATACAAATGCATCACGAAGAGGTTCAAAGAGGTTATGAACATCAAGAGGTGCAAAAACTTTTTTACAACCTGGGCATAAATATCCCTTATTTTCTTGTTCCTTTAGGGAAAAAAAAAAATTTTTTTTAATAATAAATTTTATAAAGGAATTTATAAATTCAATACGAAAGTAAATCCATACACTTCGCATTCGATCTCCAACCATCTCCCTGATTTTAAAAATTTTCCATTTTATAACATTGACGACCTGATAAAAAGAGAATTGATCAGATTGTTTTGAGAATTCGCAATAACCTAAAATAAATTAACTACTTGTTGCCAGTCAACGTAATAATAGGTTCTTGGCATTGCCCGCTGTTCTGCTTTCTTTGATTCTGTTCTTGAGAACGTTTTTATGAGGCGCGCTTCTTTCAGAGTACCGCAAAGCTTGTGGATCTCTTTAACGTTAAGACCAACGCCCTTTGCCAAGTTTTCGTCGCTGATTGCTTCATGTTTAGTAAGTTGATCCAACACTACAATATGTGCCGTTTGGAAAAAAGCTCTTGCTACCCTCATTAATAAGGCAACGAAAACGCTCATATCGGTAGTATCACTCATAATGTATTTAAATAAATCTTGAAAAAGTTTTGTTTAAAATTGACGAAAACTGTAACTAAGGCTAGTTGGAGGTATAACAAGAAAACCAACCAAGCAAGGCGGAAGCTCAGAATTTGCGACTTCAAAGTTCTATCAGAGAAATGATCTTTTGTTTCCTTGAATAGCAAATAAAGCGAAAAATGTAAAATGATTCACATGTAACCAAAGATTTCAAAGCCAAATAACCCAACGATCCATATTTATGTTACATATTTTTTTTGTGGAACATAAATGTCATTTTTTTAGGCAAAGCTTGTTGACCAATGATAAAAGTATAAATAAAAGTTCTTTTTTTTTCTAGAATTTTTTAATTCATATTTAACATTCTCAGTTTTATAAATTATTTTCAATGACACACGAGAAAGTAATTTTAGTTACCGGTGGCTCTGGCCTTGTAGGAAAGGCAATCGAGTGGGTCATTGAAAATGATAAAGGAAAGTATGGTAAAGGTGAAGGAGAAAAATGGGTTTTCCTCACAAGTAAAGATGGTGATTTGAGGTGAGGTAATCCCTAAAATACTCGCTTATTATTTTTGATTTAAATTTATTTTTTCAATCAATTTAAAGATTTATTCTTGCTTTTTTAGGTCTATAGAAGCCACGCGTGCTATCTTTGAAAAATATAAGCCAAACCAAGTGATACATTTGGCAGCTCTCGTTGGTGGTCTTTTCAAAAATATAAAATATAAATTGGATTTGTTAAGAGATAATTTATTAATCAATGATAACGTTTTGCATACTGCTCATGAACATAAAGTAAGTATTTAAATAAACCAATTTTTGATGCTATTATTTAAAAAAAAACATATGTACATTTTATAGGTTGAGAAAGTTGTTTCGTGCCTTTCTACGTGCATCTTTCCCGACAAAACAACATACCCAATCGACGAGACGATGATTCATAATGGACCTCCACATGAGTCCAATTTTGGTTACGCATACGCAAAGAGATTAATAGATTCCCAAAATAAGTAAGGTTAAAATTTATTAAGATGTTTGTTAATATGATCCCGTATCCTAAGACTAAAAAATCTGCTTTATAGAGCATATAATGATCAATTTGGTGATAACTTCACTTCAGTTATTCCAACAAATGTATTCGGTCCTCATGATAATTATGATTTACAAGATTCCCATGTGATTCCTGGGTTGATTCATAAATGTTATCTTGCTAAAAGTAAGTAAGTTTTGTTATAACGCTCTTTTTTTTTTTTTTTATAAAAAAAAAAAATAAATAAAAAATGTCCTTTAATAATAATTTCCATTTAAGAAAACGGAACACCTTTTGTTGTCGCTGGAACTGGTAAACCTCTACGCCAGTTCATTTATTCACGTGATTTGGCAAAATTATTTATCTGGGTATTGAGAGAATATAAAGAAATTGATCCTATTATTTTATCAGGTATTTTAAAAGGATATCATGAATAAACTACAATTACCATTGAAATCTAAATTTTTGCTTTTTTAGTTGGTGAAAAAGATGAAATATGCATTAAAGATGTAGCCGATGCCATTGTAAAAGCTGTTGGCTTTGAAGGGGAATATAGCGTAAGTTACCTAAGAAATTTCTTCAATTTGGTTTATAGTTTCTTTTGATTCTATTAATACGATTCATTATTTTTTTCAGTTTGATACTTCCAAGTCCGATGGACAATATAAAAAGACAGCTAACAACGCAAAATTATTGAAATATCTTCCTGATTTCCAATTCACACCTTTTGAAGTTGGTAGGTTAAACCACTCTTTTTACATGCCTTAAACAATGCATTAAAAATTTGAGCTAACCTAATCCTTTTTTCTCATAAGCCGTGAAAGAATCTACAGATTGGTTCATTCAAAATTACGGAAATGCTCGTACTGGGAACCCATAGAAATAGATGATTTATTCTTTTAAAGTTGCAATTTATTTCCAAAGAAAAAAATACACATTAAATGCTTAATTTATGAAAGAATCTTTTGTCCTCGATATATTTCAACATTATCTTTCCGAAATTCTTCCGCCAAATTTAATTCATTCATTGAAACCTTATGAATTTTCCAACCATGATTTTCTATAGCATCAAACAATAATTTATCAGATCTTGTTGTTCGTGTTTGGTGACAAAGAAAAAGTGTTGTGTGAGATGGAGTTGATAATTCTATACGTTTCAAAAAATTCATTTTTTTTTAAAAAAAAAAAAAAAAAAAAATTGCGTAAAGAACATAATTTCAGAGACTTTAATTTACCACTAATAGTATCAATTAAAGGCTCAATTAAATAATCTACCCAAACTACATCAGCAGCCAAGATATAGTCCCATGGACCTTCATTGATCAAAATTGGAATATGTTCTTTCCTAAAATAAAAAAAGTTTTCTAAAAATTTCGTACTTCAAATGATTTAAAATAAATTAACTCCAACCTATTTATCCAATCTAGTGGTTTAGCAAAGACATTTTTATTTTCGAATCCATTTAATGTTATAATTTTTTCAATTTCGGGAACAACACTTGGTACATCCGTTATAGTTACCAAACTTGCTCCTAAAATATATGATGCAATTGATGGTATAGATTTACCCGCACCCTTAAAGGATAATGACAAAAGTAGATTAGAAAAATAAAAATAAAAATGAATGAATTAGGTATATGAATGATTGAAATTTACCACTTCAATAACTTTTTTCCCTTTAAAATTCAATTTATTTTCATTACATTGTTTTTCAAGAAATTTCGATAGAATCAAACTCTTGTAAATTATAATAAACCCAAAGAAGGAAAAATAAAAAAGATTAATTGATTAAATCATATTGAAGAAAAATTAAAAGTTAAGGAAAAAAAAAAAATTTCATATACAGCATCCCAAACGCTATAAGCAGTCTTAATTGTATGATCATTATTATCAACATCATTGATTTTCAAATCATTTGAATGATATAAATAAATTGCTTGATTATTTATTTTAAATTGATTTGTTGACGATGAAATAAAATTATAAGAAGGAAATTTAGGTCCTTCTATAAGTAAAGTTGACGAAGAATTAAATGTGGACATTTTGTTATCAAAAGATTCAATCACGAGAACAGGAATAACTTGCTAATTTGTAATTTTTCATTAGTCCGGAGGGTCATTAATTACGTGATTACACAAATTTTGGGAAAATCGAGGATTCACGTGAGCTTTTCTTTTTCGACTTGTAAAAAGTTTAAAAAGTTTAATAGTGCTCAATAATACAATAAGATAAAATCAAATATAATAATTGGAAATGCTGAAAACGTAAATGATCCAAGTTTTATCATCGATGATGTAAATTTCTCTCTTTACTTTGTCGCTTCTTCGGTTGCTTTTGTAAATCTTCTTTTTTAAATGAATTTTAAAATATTTTGAATATTATGTTTCATAAAGTTTCACATAAAAATTTGTAAAAAAGATCATAAAAAAACTAAGACTTCCGATTTGATGGGACTTAGGAAAGTTCACCAAACGTCAGAATTGATCGGCATTTGAGTCATTGATAGTTGAATTTTGAAAATCCAAAAAAGATTTTGCTTAGTCAAAAGACAAAATTCTGTCGAATCCTTTATAACTTTTGCATACTTGTCTTGCTTTTAAATCGAAATAACTTAAAATGTCTGCTACTACAGTTAACCAACCTCGTTCTCAAATTTTTACTTGTTTGGCTTGTCAAGTTGCGTTCAATACGGCTGAAGCTCAAAGAACTCACTATGGAACTGATTGGCACCGCTACAATTTGAAAAGAAAAGTTGCCGACTTACCGTCTGTTACATCCGAAGTTTTTGCTCAAAAGGTTTTGGGTAAGTATTGATATCTTGAGGCTTCCTCACAGTTGACCAGAGGTTGACGTTAAAAAAAAAACAAAAATATTATTATCTAGCCCAACAAGCGCAAAGTAAAGATGCCGACAGAAAAGCTAGCTTTTCCGCGGAATGCACCGCTTGCAAGTAAGAATAATTCTTTTGTATTTTTTTTTTTATCTCTTTCATCAGATTGATTAACTTTTTGCTTATATCTTTATAGCAAAATTTATTATTCCGAGAATGCTTACGCAAATCATTTACAATCTAATAAACATAAAGCTGCTGAGGCAAAAGTTGTCCTGGAAGGTGCTTATAGTGATAAATAATTATTTAAGCATTAATTATATTTAATTCTTTCATTTATGATGATAATAATTATTATTTATATATAGGAACAAATCCGAAAAAAAATATAATTATTCATTCAAAACCTAGTGCCGAAGGAACGCTGCAAATACAGAATGAAGTAAAATTATCTATTTACATATTCCTTTGATTTAGAAATTTTATTTATAATTTCCTAAACTCTCAATTTTTTTTAAAAAAACTTTTTTGTAGAGTGATATTAATTCAATTATTGACAAAAAGATTGAAGTTGCAATAGCATTAGAGGAGGGGGACTGCCTGTTTTGCACACAAAGATTCGAATCATTTGATGAAAATGTACAACATATGACAAAAATTCATAGTTTTTTCATACCGGAAATAGAGTACTTAATTGATATTCACGGATTAATTAAATACTTGGGTGAAAAAATTTCTGTTGGAAATGTTTGTTTATACTGTAATGGACGAGGAAAAGGAATGAAAAGTCTTGAAGCTGTTAGGCGTCACATGGTATGATTCCATTTCACTTCCTTTTTGTTTATATACACGCAAAAAATTTTGTTAAGTGTTTAAAAAAAAATGAAATATGTTCCTTTTAGATCGATAAAGGTCATTGTAAGATAGCTTATGAAACTGATGAAGATATTATGGAACTTGTCGATTTTTATGATTTTACTACTAGTTATCCTGATGATGATGGCGATGATAATTGGGTAGTGATTGATGATGATGACGAAGAAGAAGAGGAAGAACTACTTCCTCAAAGGTAAATAAAATTAATTCGAACCAATATATATATATATATATATTTGTATTAATTTATAAAATATTCTTTTAGTAGTATGGTATATGAAGAAGATATGGAATTAGTATTGCCATGTGGTAAAAGACTTGGTCATCGATCTTTGCAGAAGTATTACAGACAAAACTTGCGTCCTATTGAGGTAATTCTTTTAAAAAATAATGTTACATTTTCTTTTTTTTCTTATAAGACTTCTTATAATGCCTATTATTTAATAGGAACGAGATGCTTCAATTATAAATCGTCTTATCACTGAATATAGTGGTAATTCAGAATATACGAGACAATCTGGGAGACTTTTGATCACTAGAGATAATGTATATAAAAATTATCAACCTCGTTATGTCTCCTTACGTGAGAAACAATATCAACAAGTTTATGATACGCGTATTGGTATGAAAGCCAATAAATTACAACGCCATTTTAGAGCACAAATTTTGTAAGATCATACTCCTATGGTTTGTTTGACGTAATGATGATAACTCGCATGTTTAAAATTAAGTAATGACAATCCCTATTTTTCTATCTTCACTATTTTCAATAAAACCTTTTGTTTTTATTATGACCGAAATGAATTCATTAATAAATAAATTAATTTGATTTTTTATTGAGTAATTCGCGTAAATATGTTGAACTAAGCTTGAGATTTTTTAATTCATTTTCTGAAAGAGAAGGATTTGAAGAAGAAATAACCTCAATTATTGCCAGGTAAAGTGGTTGAAATCCTTTCTTTTCGCGTTCTTTGTTAACTACATGAAAAGAAAGAAAGAAAGTGTATGAGAATATTTCTCTTACATGATTTATTAAATTAAAACCCTTTTTTCAGACGTACTGGAATGGGCTCCATTAATAGTTTCTTTGGATATAACTATGGCTTTAATTTCAGCATCTGTTGTGGTTGGACCATATGCATCATAAATTGGAATTACCTAAATGATTAAAAAAAAAAGGAAGAATTGCTTAAGAATTAAGCATTGTTTAAATTAATTATTTAATCTCGAGAACCACCTCATAAATCAAACCCCGACGAATTGATTCTAAGAATTGTTTGACTTTTGCAATACGAGTATCTATTGATTCTAACTGTTCTTTAAATTTTTTATTATCAAGCATAGTATTATCTAAGTTGTCAAAAAAAAAAAAAGGTTTCATGTATGCCGTGTAATTAGGATGAAAAAAAAAAATTTTCCAAGTAAATAACTTACCAGTAACACCGCAAATTAACCTTTTTCCAGTTATCCACGCTGCCATTGTTAAAAGGATTTTATGCCCAGAGTGTAAATGATCGAATGTTCCACCGACAGCAACATGATCAAATATCTTTTGATTACTAGGCTGTAAAGGAGTTTTATTAGAATCGATCAAATCGATTGAGGATGGAGTTATTTTTGATTCGAGAATATGTATCGGTAAGTTTGACAATAAAGAATTCTTGCGAGTTTCGTTGAATTGTTGTAAAAGCTCCTTCTCTATTATTATATATAAACGACAAATTTGAATATTTTTTTTAATTAAAAAAAAAAAATCGAAGTTGTTCGCGAAGAAAATAAGAAAACTTAAGAAATTTATACCAGTTATGGGTCCAAATAAAACATTAAAATGCCTTAATTCAACTTGATATCCACACCACTTATCAAATATTATATCAATATCAAGGAAGGGCTTATCAGTCTCATAAGCTACTTTTGTTCCAAAGACATATAACGCACTTAATAAGTTATGAACTCGAGTCCAACAAGCTAAAGGATCACTTGCGTAACGATTTATTTCAGAACAAGATATAAGTATTGTTAATAAATTCGAGACTCGATTAACTGAAGATTTAATCAAGTCCTTATGATAATCCGTTATTGTGGAAAGTGTAGGTAATGAAATGTGAAGTAATGCGGAATCATATAAATATTTTGACATTACTAAATGTTGAAACAAGGAAAGATAATTTTTTTGTTTGAATAAGTGCTAAACCACCAATTAATTTTAAATTGTTGGGGAGGGGGGGATTCTATTACAAACGCGTATAGTAAATGTGAAATTTGACCCTCTTATATGTCACCTGATCGGCACAAAATACAGATAAAGATACATACATGCGTTTTTTTCATGATTCATCAAACTTTGTTGAATTCATCAGCTATAGGTTTAAAAATGTTTATTAGTAAAAGAAACTTAAATAATAATTTGTGATTAAATTTAATATTTTTACTAAAAAAAAAGTTGCTTAACTAACAAATGTTACTAAAGAATTTTAATAAAGGGAATGAAAATGAAGAAAAAAAAAAAGGGAAAATATTTATTATGTAATCAGATTGCTAAATTATATATAAATAGTAATAAGCATTTTGTATTTTATTTGCAATAATGAAAGAAAGGCAGTAGTAAAAAAGAATAAACACGTCAAAAAGATGATAATCCAACATGTCTTTACCCTATATACTTACCAACTTGACATCTATTACATTATTTTATATTTATTGAGAAAATAGCATAATAAATTATTGTGATAAATTTTACTTGCTGATTAGACCAGTTGCCTTGAAAGGCTCTGCTTAATAATTTCATTTCATCGGAGTTATTTTTGTTAGAAGGATTCCGTACCATAATTCTTTCTTTTTAAATGAGACGGTAATTGCAGCTGGCTGCTTTTAATAGTTTACTTATTAGAATATTATTATCCGATTGTTATCATCAATAGCATTCAACTAATTTTAGATTGATTCATCACAACTATTGATATTTATTTAAGCTTTGTTTGACCTGTTAAAGCATATGTGCGGAAAGAAGGCTCATTTGTTCAGATGGATTACTTTGCATAAGTTCTCGGAACGATGAAAAACGATTGGAATCGATACGTTCACGGAATTGCATGTATTTAATGGAATATTCCGCTTCAACTTTCTCAATTTCCCTATCATAATCCCAATAAGGATCTTTCTTTAATGTGAGCGGAATGTCGGAAATATAAATTAATTTTTTAAATTCACACATTCTCTTTGTCTGTTCATTGTCTTTAAATTCTTCTCCTTTAGGATTCTTGACCTTGGGTTCTTTTTTGATCTCATGCGGAACGTATCTTTTGATTCCTTTGGCAAGTTCTATTCTGCGCTGTTCCGCCGCACGTGCATCCTCTTTATTTTGCTTTTTGTTTCTAGCATTAATACGCGCCCAAACGTCCTCTGTTGGATCACGTTCGGTAAGTTCTTTACTAATCTCTTGTATCCTTGTATCTAATTCCTTAGCTTCCTTAATATCTCCTCTAACCTCTGCAAAATATTTGAGGGTTGTTAAATTTGATTTCTCAATCGTCAACTCCTTCTTTTCGCCACGTAGGGCTTTCTTTTGTTGAACAATATTTTCAACATCTTTTTCAGTGAGGATATATTCTTTAGCCGTATTTAGAGCTTCTTGTTTGCGCGAAATATGATCCTTCGACGGTAATTCCAAATTGTGGTACTTCATAGTAATTAACCAACGCTCAAATTCTGACTAAAGTTATTGTAATATTATTGAAAACATCGTTGATTTATTTGAACGAATTAAAAAAGAAAATACTTACTTGATCAACATATTGATTGGATACAATATCCATAGGCCAACATTTAGTAGCATCCGCATGCCTAAGTCGGAGAACTTTATTTGTAATAGTCTTGTCAACATAGTACTTATTTTCTGTAGTTTCAACGCCTTCAATCTCACACAAACGATATACTTGTTTATCTTCCCTATCTCCGATATGCAATCGAACAAAACATCCTACTACAGCATCTGCCAAAAATGGAGCAAACATCCAATTGACAAGCATATGTCGAGATACCTGGATAGTTCTCAATTCTTGTAATGTAACGTCCTGATGTTTATAATGGTTTATAAAAATATGTAAATTATAAATAATAAAGTTTGATTCTGATTTTAAAATTTGAATAAATCTTTACTTCTTGAGTATCATTGCTATCTTTTTCACCACCTTCATATTCATCATTTGATGATGAGACATGTTCTCCAAGTTCGGGACTTTGAGAACCGGATTTTGTTTTTTGTTCCTTTTCAGCACGTCGACGTTTGAGTTCACTAAATGACTTTTTACTTGAATTCTTTGCACGAGAGGATCTTTTAGATTTATCGTCTAATGGATCAAATAATTGTTGAACGGCGTGTAGATCCAAGTGGTGTTGTTTCTTTTCTGCTCTGTCCGCCAAGATCCTTTCTCTTGCAAGTTCATTTAGGGTACCTAACCTTTCTCTATCACTTCTATCACGATACAAATCTGGACCATATTCACCAGGAGAACCTCTTCGGCGTTTGTCTTTACCAGCCTCACCATCAGGTGAAGGAGATCTCGAACTTCTACTCTTTCTTTTTTGTCCAGAAACACGTCTACTCTCTTCACTTGATCCAGATTGTGACCCTTCCGGCTCAGAAGCTTGTTCAGAACGTTTTGAGTTTTCGCTAACGTCACCGGCGAGTGCAAGAATTTCGTCTTCTAGGTCAGACATTCCTATTGTCAAATTTTGCGATTTTTTTATCGTATAAATAGAAATCTGGGATCACGTGTAACAATAAGTTTAATTAATCAGCCAATAAAAATGAATTTTATTTTAAATTATGTATTTATCATTATTAAAGAATTATTATAAAATAAAAAACTTTCTTCTAAAAGTCATTTTATATTTTTAGAAAATAAACACATTATTCTTAAGTAAAAAGTATTATATATAAAAAAAGAGATTATCCTATAAAAATCACTCAAAATACACGGGATGAATCCTAACAAATTTATTTGAAAAGCCTTTACGTTTACCACATGACATCAAGTCAGTGTCAAGAAAAAGTTGTTTTTGATAAAAAGTGCCCTCGAACGTTTATTAATTCCACAACACTCACATGATTTTGATGGATCATTAAATGTGCAATAACATTGTAACATTAGAAACATTTTACAAGTTAAACGTCAATAAATTCGGTGAATAAAAACTTTTAATGAAATGATAATATGGCCACTAATTGATCTTTACATATGATCAAGCTAACGAAGTTACTCATTCCAAATTCGTTTCTTAGACCCACTGCAAATTATATATATTATTTGCCTTGTACCAAAAAAAAATTAAGTAAAATAGTATGCTTACACCGTCCAATTTTATTTCTTGCATATGTTGTGCCCAAGTTGCGATCTGTCCCGGGGCAGATCCATATACTGAGAATTGAAATTTCAATTTCAGGGGCAGTCCAACTTGAAATTTCAAACTGGGGCACGTGTATAAATTTTGATGATTTTGATCTTTTGACAATAATTGTGATGTCCCAAGTTGTCTATTGCCCTAATTTTAAATTGAGGCAATAGGCAACTTGGGCACCTCATGACTCAATTTCCAATTTGCCCATATTTTAAATTGGGGCGATGGTCAACTTGGGGCACCGCGTTACCAGTTTCCAATTTACCCCAATTTTAAATTGGTGCAAATGGGCATCGCATGTCTCAATTTCTAATTTGCCTCAATTTTAAATTGAAATCGAAAATTTGAATTTGGGGCAGATCCTTAACATGGGGCACAACAAGGGTAGGTTGGTGGCTCTCAAGTGGATTTAACTTCCGTAAAGGAGTGTAAAGAAATGAAATTCGCTCCTTATTCACAGTCAGAGAGTATTCTAGCATGAAATCTCATTTCCCAAAAATGACTAATAAATCGTCCGTGGTGGACACCAAAAAAAAGAATCTCAAATATTAACTGCAAATGAAGATATGGAATTAAGTTAGAAGAACACTATGATGTGCTTTATTAAATTAAGATTCATCATATTAAAATATTCAATAATTACCGGGGGAGGACAGAAATATTGCATGGTCAAGAATTAGATAATTTTATAAATCATTCTTGACCGTGCAATACTTTGTTTTCCCTCGGTAACTCCAATAGCGTTTCAATTGCTTCACTCAACCCTTAAGTGCGTTGTCTTAGCTAAAAAGTGTTCTTTCTTAGTTTTTAATTTTTCTATCCTAATCTCTAACATTTTTTTTTTTTTTACTGCTGTAATAAACAAGGAGTTAAATATGTTTTTATGTACAAGAGTTAATAATAATTTAATGCATCACCTTTGTCACGCGCTATGCATTTTGTATTAACTGTATTATAATAACTTTCGCTCACAAATTCGAGGCGTTATTTTGAATTTGCATGGATTCAGGTTAGTTTTACAAGTTTTCAATACATTATCCGAAATAAATATATAACGAGAAAATAATATCTGAAATTTTATGAACGTCTAATTTGACAAGGCCCAGTGCGCATAATCAAGAATACAAATCATTTGTTTCAATGATTTCACGATGTTTTTAATCGATATAGCGATAAGATTTATATTTATTGGTGCGCTTGATTTTTTGCTTTGCTTTACTTGTAACAAAGCAGATAAACAGAATCACTAACCAACGCCTTCCACTTTTTGAATAGTATTTTTATTTAATTTAGTAATTGAAACCATTAAAACGTTCCTTATAATGTTAGTATTAACGTTCAAGTATAAACAGCTTACAAACTTCAAATCATTATTTACTGTGTTGGTAAGAATTTATAAGGGTTCATAATTCCATTGGGATCGATACTTTGCTTAATTTGTTTCATCAAAGAAATCATGGGAGGAGATTTTGTATATCCTAAATAATCTGCTTTCATTAACCCAAGTCCATGTTCTGTAATTGAAATATTAGTTTATATAATATGTTGTAAGTAGAAATATACAGTTAATTGATCAATTACCTGCTGATATGGATCCTTTGTGTTGTTCTTTAAAGAAAAAGTTAATATTGCTACATAAATGATGCTTATCAATTATAAATATTATCATAACTTACCTGTCCATTCATATACATAAGGTTCGATTAAATTAGTAACTTTAGGATCATAAGACTTTGCTACTATATTCAAATGTAAATTTCCTAAATCAGGGAAAAAATTTTTAATAAAGTTTAAAACCTCTTCCATAATCAATATTCCTCGAAGAAAAATTTATCTTACCATCGCCAATATGTCCATAACCTATTACATCGCTAACCAATTTATCTTCACCAAGCACACCAGCAGATTGCAATCTAATTCTAATATCTTTAACCATTTGGTAAAGTACTGGTACCGGCATACTTATGTCATATTTATAAACAGCTCCAGCTTTACTACATGCTTCCGGAATACCTTCACGTAATGACCATAAACTTGTTATTTGTGTATCGTCTTGTGCTACAACTCCATTCGTAACTATTTCATTCGTTAAAAGCTTTTCTAGGAAATTTTGTAATTTTTCATCATCGTGAGATTTATTTGATCCACTTATTTCAACTAATACATAAAACGGATAATTATCTTCCAATGGAAATTTTTTTCCATGGATATTATGTGCTTTCAACAATTTCAAGGCATTAATATCCCAAAATTCAAATGCTATATTATTAGAGAGCATAGATCATATAAATTAATTGGATCAAAAGTTAATATATGAAGAAATTAATAAAATACTACCTGACAGGATTTCAGATAATTCATCTTTTGATGTAAGAAATGCTTTTTGTACATTTTGAAATGAATTAAATCCAAGGACGGCAACATTTACAGCCTAAAAAATCAGAACAATTAAAACGTTAATCTTACTTACATTATATATTTAATGTCGAAATTTCGCTTACTCTCGGCCTTCGTGGAGTAGATATGGAAACACCTGTAATGATTCCAAGTGTTCCTTCGCTACCAATAAATAGTTGTTTTATATCATAACCTAATAATAAAATAAATTGATAAGAATATTTTTTTAAAAAAAAAACTTCTGTTGAAAACTTTGATAAACGACCTGTGTTGTCTTTACGAAGTGTAGATAAGTTATCCAATATAGTTCCATCCGGCAATACCGCTTCCAGTCCTAAGACTGAGCCATGAAGCGATCCATATCTTAGTAATCTCAATCCACCAGCATTCGTTGCCACATTTCCACCAATATGACAACTATATAAAATAAATTAATGAATGAGCTCAATTGAAGAGAAAGATAATTATTAAAATAGGAATTTAAGGGTAACTCACCTTCCCTTTGCACCTAAATCTAGTGGCATCATATAACCTCGTTCAGCCAAATAACCATCAAGAAGCTCCAGAATGCATCCAGCATCACAAGTAAGAACACCTATAAGTGTGAGCGTTTAACACATAAATTTCCAATCAATAAGTTATCAAACTTATCTATCCTCACCTGAAATTGGATCAAAACTTCTGATTTGATTCAAATTATTAGTGTTAATAATAATTTCATCAAACACTGGCACTCCGCCACCTACAATTCGAAAATTTAATGCTCAGCCTGAGTTATAATATAACTATATTTACTATATATGCTTACCAACAAGTCCCGTGTTACCACCTTGCGGTACGACAGCCAACTTATTGTCATTACAATATTTAAGTATTTGAGAAACTTGCTGTGTAGTTTTAGGTCTTGCTACTAGACGTGACTTTCCTCTGTATTTTCTCATCCAATCAATATTATAGGGCATCAAATCATCCTCCTTATCAATGATTAATCCATTAGCGGGTAAAATTGAAGTGAAAAATTTAATGTCGTCTTGAGTAAGCTAATGATTTTAAAAAAAATCAATTCAGGTCTTCACTTATACACAATTATTGAATTTAATTGAATTACGAAAGGGATGCATGCCTCCTTGAAATTTTTCCTACGTAGATATGTGTATTTATCTGTCGTAAAATTAACTTCTTTTGTTGGTGCGTGTTTCTTCGCTGGAATTTCAGCTCCTGAAGTATTGCTCTCTATAGTAGCAAAATTACGTAGTAAATTAAGCTGAACCTTCTTACTAATATTGCTTAGAACAAAATTATTTCGAGTAAACAAATTTTTCCCGGATAATTGTAGAACGCGTTGAGAAATTATTTTTGGAGCATAACTGTAATACATAATTTGTCAAATATATTTTCTTTGAATATATTCCGATAAAAAAAAAAAAAACCGCTATATCCGCATTTAATATCTGTATGCATTTTTAGAAAGATAAGCATATAAATACTGGTTTATGCAATTTTTTTCCGTCTAATGAAATTTTCAATTGTATTAATTGTATTAATCATCCATTTCTAATCATCAGTATTTTTTCATTATAATATTTATATAACTCGATTATCTTTGAGAATGTTAAAACAATGCTTTCATTAGAAAAAGTAAGAAATTCTTTAAATTTTATTACATTATATAGGTAAAGACATCGGTTTTATCATCTAATTTAATATCAAAATTAGAAAAACAATTTAATTATCACTTTTTATCAAATAATAATTTTTTTAAAAAATGTACTTATAAAAAGAATTTATTATTGTGTGATTATTTTATCTTATTAATTTAATAATAACTCGATTTAATATCGATATAGAAATATTATAAAATGAATTTATATGATATAATATTTAAACAAAATGATTAATTTTAAAATTTTATATACCTTCAC